GAAAAGGAGAAAGACATTAATATTCGAAAGAAAAAAAATAAAAATAAATAAGCACCTGAGAAAAAGCGTATGATAGAGATAAAGCTATAGAAGATTGAGATGGTTGTGAATTATGAAATCGGGTTTATAAAAGGGGGTTTTGGAGTTTGGGAAAAAAATGGCAGAATGAAGGAATGATCAGATTAGAGGAAGCATGACTCTTCTCTCTCTTCATCTTTCTTTCAGTGGGTGAATGGGTGGAGGAATCAATAACCCTTGTCAACTTTTCCCAAAGTCTAACATAAAGCACAAAATAGTGACTCGCCCACAAACTATCATTTACGACCGTGAGATACAATAATAAAATATTGAATGGTTTAGATTTTTTTATAGGTTACTACTATTTAGTGAAAATGTTGAGTGTACGTTCAACACAACTAACCCTTTAATTTACTCTTTAAGCTTTGTATGCATTCATTTCTGATTATTTAATTTTTAAATATTGTATTTGATAACATAATTTAAATTTTTTTTAATAAATTCTTACCATTATCAACAACAAAAAATATATACTAAATACAAAAATTATTATTAAACATTAATCATGAATAAAAACACTTTTTAACAAAAAAAAATCACACTAAAAAAATACAACTAATATTCATTAAAAATAATTTTGCTGACATCAGATAAATAAGTTTATATTATATATGCAGATAAATAAATTTAAGAATATGAACTGCAAAAACTCTTGACTAAAAATTCTGATCACATTATTCAAAAAAATAAATTTATGGACGTTATTAAAAAAATAATCCTATCATTGTTAAGAAAAAATGACTTTTTTTATAAATAATATTATTTTAAAAATATTTTTTAAAATAGTATATCTGAAACATTATTTACTCAACTAATATTTTTTATTGTTCATGGGACTCTTGCTCAAACAAGAAATACATCACTTGAGCGAGGAGACATAAAACTTAAGAGTTTTGTAGGGTTTAATTTCACTCAAACGATATAATTCTTGCTCAAACGTTAAGTTCTCTCGCTCAAGCGAGAAATCCTTCACTTAAGCGAGGAGACCTGAAACTAATGGGTAATCTTGGGTGTTTTTTCGCTCAAGCAATGAGTAATTTCGTTCGAGCGAGAACTTATTGAAATATGTGGTTGACCATAGGCTAAAGCTACAACGGAGTTAGCCACATAATACAACTTGGGTCAACTACATATTTCAATCAGTTCTCACGAGCGAAATTACTCTTCGCTTGAGCGAAAAACACCCGAGATTACCCATTAGTTTCAAGTCTCATCACTGAAGTGATGAATTTCTGCTTAGCGAGAGAGAAATAATCGATCATAATTTTAAATATTTAATTATTTAAAAATTATGATCAATTAGTTTAAACTATAATCGATTATAAATTTCATCGCTCAAACGATGGATTTGTCGCTTGAGCGAGAATTGACCATATCCGAAAGGTCCAACGTAGTTAGCCAATCACTTCTCGTTCAAGCGAAATTACTCATCGCTTGAGCGAGAAAGAAATAATCGATCATAATTTTAAATATTCGATTATTTTAATTTTATGATCGATTAATTTAAATTATAATCGATTATAAATTTCTTCGCTCAAAGCGATGAATTTCTCGCTTGAACGATAATCAACGCAGTTAACTAATCACTTATCGCTCGAGCGAAATTACCTATCGCTTGAGCGAAAATTGACCACAGGCGAAAGGTCCAACGCAGTTAGCCACATAATGCTACTTGGGTCACCACATATTTCAATCAGTCTTCGCTTGAGCGAAATTACTCATCGTTTGAGCGAAAAAAACACCTGAAATTACCCATTAGTTTCAGGTCTTCTCACTCAAGCGAAGGGTTCCTCGCTGAGCGAAATTAAACCCCACAAAACCCATAAGTTTCAGGTCTCCTTGCTCAAGTGATGCATTTCTCGCTTGAGCGAGAGTCTCGTGAACGAGTAAAAAGTGCTAGTTGGCTAAATAATGTTATAGGATGTGTTATTTTAAAAAATATTTTTAAAATAATATTATTTATGAAAAAAAGTCAGAAAAAACTTATTAATGTTAATTAATAAAAAATAGTTTATGTTGATAAAAAAATCTTACGATTATCTTTTAAGAAAACCCTATTCATGTTAATTAATATATAATTCTAACTTATATCCTTATTAATATTAATAGAAAAACAATTTTTATTTATATTAACTAAAAATAATTTCATTTAACATGAAGAGATAAATCTTATTTCACCTAAGTTAAAAAAAAAACACTAAAAATAATTTTACGAAAATATAGCTCTTATGTATATTGATACATTACGGAAAACGAGGTTTTTTATATTGATCAATTTAAACATTTTTATATTGATTATAGAATCGAAATATATGTTATCCATATAAAAAAGATACATAATATAATGGTTACTTTACTAATTGATATAGTATATTTTATCAATAAATACAAATTAGGACATTTTATATTAGTGTCTTTATATTGATTATAATATATGTAAATTTGACATCAATTATAAAACATACAGTATATATTGTTTGTTTAAAAAAAAAACTTTGACCACATGTAATAAAATTGTAAATACCTTCACAATTAAATACAATTTGGTTTTTATATTTTAAAATTAACATGTAAATAATATTTCTTAAATTTTAAACAACGTATATTTGTATATATATTTGTATATTTTAAATTATAACAAAATAAATTAGAACAATATTAAAATAAATTTAAAATTTTAACCTATATATCGAATGGTGAAAGTGTTTGTATTGCAAAGGTACTTGGAGAAGCTCAAAGAAAAATAAAACACCCGACATAGAGAATATATTATTTCTTATTATTATATTTTTACAATTATTAGAAATTTTATATTAATTAATCTAAAATTATAATATTTCCAAAATATCATGGATAATTAATATATAGAAAAAAATAAAAGAATAATATTTAATATTTCGTTCATATTTATTGTAATAATATCTTAAATATTAATTATTATATTTAAATATTATTTATTTTGAAACTATTAAGAAGAGAAGGATGTATAAACTATTATCAACATATTTATTTATTTGAAACTAAAATTTTAAAATCTATAATGAATTTTAATTTTTAAAACTAAATTCTTTAATTATTGTACTTACCCATTTTACCTTTTGAAAAAGAAAAAGAAAAGACACACACCTTATCTATCTATGCACTTCCACCTATTGCCGCCGCCTTCAATGATTAAAGAACAAAGCATTTCATTTCAAAATAGATACCATAAACTCATTAATCAATAAATTAAAGAAATTAATTGAAATTAATAAAAATAGTGGTTAGCAAGACACATTAGAAATTGAGTTCAATTTCTTTACCAAAAAGTTAACGTCGGTGTAAATGAAAATTCTTTAAATAATAATATAATTATAATGTAGGTTTAAATAGATTGAATATTCTTAATCGAATTTTATTTTGAATATCGACTACTTTAACAAATTATATATTTAAATTTAAATTTTATATAAATTTTTATTAAATTAAATCTCTAAATAAACGAATCCTTCCAACAAATACGTTAAGTACGACATTGTCTAAATCTACACTATCTAATATTCTAGAAACAAAAGTATATAAAATTTTCAAAAAATAATTACTTAACTTTTTTAACATAATATTAAACCCAATATATAAATGAATATTTTAAAACTAAAATATATAATAAATTATTAAGTAGATAATTTTAAAAAGTTATTAGGTAACCTACGCACACTTTGTAACATCAGACGGGAAAGTATGTAAAAAAGAAACAGGACAAGTATGTATCAACAATGACGTTTTATTTGTTGCAGAAAGTATGAAAAAGCCTCTGATAAAAAAAGTACGAAACGAAAAGGTTGCTATTTTATCGTTTTTTCTTTACTAATTTCATAATAAATATTATTTATTCATTTATGAATTATTAAGAAACATTTAAAAATGTTTAATTATGTATTCGATGATCACAATATCAGGAAGAAATAGTTTTGGAATGATTTAAATAAATTAAATATAATAATAATAATAATAATAATAATAATAATAATAATAATAATAATAATAATAATAATAATAATAATAATAATAATCATGGCATGTGAAAAACAATAGATTATCGGGTTTGGGTGGTTGGGTCTGAACAAACAACCTCAAACAACGACTTTTCAACACGTTGAGAAAATAAGATAAGATAAAATAATAACATCACCTAAAAAAGGAGACTACATTTTTTGGTGCTCCTGTTCTAATATCTGATTGTCGTACAACTAAATCTGATTGCACTTTCTGTGAGCCGTGGCAAAGCTGTTGAATTTAGTGTCTCTCCACTCTGTTTACTCGTCCAGGTTTTCTTACTTCTTTCTCACTGTTCGTTCATTATTATTCTTACTTTCCTTTTGCTTCTACTTCAATTTTTTTTTTCTCTCTTTTCAAAAGCATTTCTGATATTTCCCAGCATCTTCTTTTGTATTGCAAATTATTAGCTTGTTCAACAAAGATTGAGATTTTGGGGGTTATTAGATGCTAGGTGCCCACAAATCTGCTTGTATTGTTATTCTCTAATTAGAATTTGAAGTTTTACTTTAGCAATTTTTATTGATCTGTAATGCAAACTTTTGGTATGGGAATTATCAAGATGCAATTATAATATGATAGAAGAGCAATATAAAGCAATTCAGAAATTGTATCTTTGTATTGTCTGAATATTATTGTCTTGATATTTTACACAATCAGATTAGGAATAGAAGAATTGGGAAATATCTCACATTTATAAGTTCAGCCTTAATTTTCAAACAAAAGTATGTAGGGCCATTAGAAGAGTATATGACTGATGAGTATTTTTTCTTTTTTCTTTTTTCTTAAAATAAATGGTAATAGATCAAAACTATTCTTACACTTTGACATAGAAATCTTGATAAATACTGATTATTTTGTGAAGGTATTGCAGATACAGCAGGATCATGAGCGGGACTTCTGAAAAGAAACTTGTAAGAATTGACGTTAGTTCTGATACTGTGTGCCCATGGTGTTTTGTTGGCAAAAAAAATCTAGACAAGGCCATAGCTGCCTCCAATGATAAATACAACTTTGAGGTCTAACACTCTCCTCATGGTTGTGTGTTTCTTGGAACCAAACATGTCTGGCATTTCCTGTGTTAATTTGCTGAATAACTGAACTTACAGATAATATGGCATCCCTTTCAACTTAATCCTGATGCCCCCAAAGAAGGCATTGACAAGAGGGAGTTTTACAGAAGAAAGTTTGGATCGCAATCAGAACGGATGGAAGCTCGGATGTCAGAGGTTTATATTTGTTGATCATTCTGTTATCGTGTTTGTGTTGTCTATATTTCATCCCAAACAAGAATTTTGAGCAAGTCATTTTGTCAATTTGGTATTTCGCAGGTGTTCAAGAATGTTGGTCTTGAATATAGCTTATCTGGACTCACGTAAGATTGAAAGTGGTTTTATAATTCATCAATGGACAAACTAATAAACCACTTTAGAAGAGGAAAGAAAAGTTATCTAACCAATGTTCAACTAACATGGTTTTGATTATCTGCAGGGGAAACACTATGGACAGCCACAGGCTTATATATTTTGCTAGACAGCAGGGTCTTGAGAAGCAACATGATCTAGTTGAAGAACTTAACATTGGCTATTTCACACAGGGAAAATACATTGGTGATCAGTAAGTGCTTTTGTGCTTCTTTTTGTTTTTTGTCTTTTCTTCAATGATCCTTATGGTTTTTGTTCAATTAGTGGCACTTTATCTATATTTCTTTAAGGCCTTTGACGGGGCTATTCTAGAAACTCACATGAAAACATGTGTATCTGTATGAATTCCAGTTGCAAATTTTTTTGCTTTCTTGACAGATTGAAGACAATGAGTACAATTTTTTTTTTTTTTCGTTTCTTTGTTGTTGAATGTCTCGTTTATACACTTATTATGAAATATTTAATGTTCAGTATGAAAAACTAGGTGATAGGAAATGGGATGGTGGGTTTTTTGTGGTAGGATATATACATTGAAGGATGTCTATACCCAATGTCTTCAACTCTAGTCCCTAAAACGACTGGCATTAATTATTAAATTCAATTTGGATACAGTAAGTTTCTTCTGGAATCTGCTGCAAAGGTTGGTATAGAAGGAGCAGAAGAGTTTCTTAAGGACCCCAACAGTGGTTTGAAGGAGGTAAATCAAATTTATATATAAGCAAACTCTGTTATGATGCATTTAAATTCGAATAAGGACTAAGATATGCTTTCTTGCATTTTGATATTTGAATTATTTTGCTTTCAAAGTTCTAACTTCAAAATGCTTAACGTATTTCTTCATTTGGATATAAAAAACAAAATGTTGGCATCATAATTTAGTTATTAGCAGCCATGAAATGGCATCAACATTGATCTTGCTTTCCATTTTTCTATCTATCTACCCAGGTCCAGGAAGAGCTGAAAACATATTCAGGGAACATTACAGGGGTTCCATATTACGTGGTAGGTGTATAGAATGTTAAATCGCATTTTGTTTTTTCAGTTTCATATGATAAGGATCGAAGTGATGGACTAAATCATTTGGCAGATTAATGGGAATCACAAATTGAGTGGTGGACAACCCCCTGAAGTCTTCTTGAGAGCTTTCCAAGTTGCTACAACTTGACTTTCAGCTTCTAGTGCCCTTTATAGTAAGAATGAAACCCTGGAAATAAGAAGTTAGTCCTTCAGAGTTCCGTGATACTTTACTTGAAATCATACATCGACTAAGATATGATTAAATTATAATATGTAATTGAGGTCCAAAACACACTTCTTCACAAGCTGGTCTTATAAGATTGATTTAGACGCATCCCTTTATAGTGTACTAATGTAAAACGTACAGTATTATGTAAGACTATCTCTATTCAGGCATTATACTAAATGTGTACTCCTTTTTACTCAAACATGAAGGATAAGCAAAATGAAATTAATTAATATTTATGCTAATTAATAAATACTTATTTATATTATTTCTTTATGATTGAGGAACAAAAGTATCTCTAGGTTTGTTGAAGACTAACCTCAGTGAGAGAAATGAGTTCCTACTTCTAAAGGAATCTCTTTGTCAAATGCTTAGTTCCATCCACAAGTTAATTAATACTTTTTTCTGATCACAAATTTATAGAAAAAAGAAAACACCAATGTTTAATGGATTTAAATATAAGTGATTTCTAACCAACATTGAAGGTTAAAAATAAATAAATGAAGTGTAACAAAAAAGATGCTCATTGTGTCAACAATAAACTGAGAGACAAGTTTCAGAGGACAAATCTCGTATGAGAGTAAAGAATCCAGTTGACTGTGAATCAATTCTTCCAAAATTCTCACATTCTGCCAATTCCATATGAACCAGCATGCGTAATCAAAGAGCATGTTGTTTAGCATGAGCAAATTCGAGGAGATCTTCATATTTGTTTTTACATGAACACAATCACGTAAAAGATGTTACCTGTTGCAACTTTTAGATGTCATTTAAGTCGCGCAAGTTTTTGTCTCTTTGCCAGTTTTTTATTTATTTAATTAGAGTACAGGGATAATCTTTTGGAGTTTTGTACCCATTAGTTTTTTCCTTTTTAATAAATAGGATAAGCACAAAACAATATCATTACAAATCACATGGAAACAGCGCTTGGTATAAAAAATATACTAATATTTGTAGAGTTCATTAGTTTCATAAATGATTAGGAAAAAGTTGGGGCAATCAATCAAAATCGAACTTATGGCTTAAACAAACAACAATATAAACAAAAACTGAAGAAAAATAAATAAATCCAAAATGTTGAAACCATGACAAAGCTGCCATCTCAAATGGCATTTTCTTTTAATCGTGCAAGTTTTTACGAGGACAAAAGCATAAATATAGAAACAACTTGGATGTGATTGAACTCAGCGATGGATAATAAAAGTTATTATATACTTCCTATACATGATAAGCTTAAAATCTGAAGTATTCACATGTCTGTATTTGTATTTTTCCTTTCCTCTGATGCTGGTATTATCCACGATATAAACCTTTTAGATCAAGATTAAGTCGTTTCATCGAATACCATCACCTGCACAAAAGAAAAATAAGTAAATATCATAATTTAGTAGACTCCGATGGTTTACAGAACTGAATCCCAGACATGTTCAGTTCCCAGGTTTCCTGTTGAACTGACAGAATCAGCCTGCTTCCCATCCTATAGGATCTAATCTCCGATGAACTGAGTAAATTCAGTAAGAAATAATTCAAAAAATACTAAGTAAATATTACCTTCCCACAAACAGGACAGTTGTCACTTCTTTCCATCCACTCATAAATGCAACCAAGATGAAAATGATGAGAGCATTTTGTCACTATCTTCGGATTCTCTTCAGTGTATTCTGCAAGCAAAAATAATGGAAATATACATAAGTATCTGATAAAGTTTCTATTTCAATATACTGTTTCCTGACATTGCCAGCCAACCCTCAATTTGTCTGTTTTGTTCATGTCCTCACAAATTCAGAAAGGACTCCATCCTTAATTCTAATCAGCACCTCCATGTAGTTCTTTGTCTAATTTTTTCTGTGTTGTGTTAAGGGACACAGTCTCACATGATGTGTTTTTAATATCCTGAAAGAGGTTGGAGGTCACAAGTTCTCATGGTCAGCCTTGGCATAGCAGTAAGATTGCTTCCTTGTGACACTTGTGGAAATAACAATTTCAAATTCTGGGAATAGACTATACATGAGTAAGGTTCAGCTACCCTTTTCAAACACTCAATAAATGTGAGTCTCATCATAAGGCAAGAAGCCAAAACTTCTGACATGACATAGTTATTAATGACTATTGAATTTATCTCAAAATATGATCAAGACATGAGAAGTATAACTTATTTAACTTGTATTAATAATATTCAATATAACAGCCATCCTGCTGCCATTCTGACTGCTATACAAACCAATATTTCATGCAAAATTAAGCCGCAGCATCATGTGATCTTCTGATGAAAATTGAATGTTGAAAAAAAAAACATAACTTACCTTCAAGACATGTCGGACAGACATCCTCCTCTTCTGAGGATGAATAGACAACCCCAGCTCCAGTTGTAAATTTTGCTGATGAAAGTCGCACAGAGGACTTAGAACGGTATTCCTTGGATCCATGTTCACTGGTATCATCATTCCATTTACCACCCGAATTTAAAGTTTCCGAGTCAGCATCTAAATCACCTCGGAGAAGTTCTGACTCTTCATTCAAATGACTTGAACCCTTCTCTCGTCTTGACACTAGTCCATCACGCTGTGAACGGAAAAACCTGGGGTCTGCATCATAAGGCAAGGGCCTTGGAGGAGAACGGTACATGTCAGATAGAGCATTATCAAGTGAAGCGGCAGAAGTCATAGATGCTGAACCCTGTATAGGTGATGGAATCGCATGCACTTCCCCTCTACGGAATATTGATGCATACTGAAATTTTGAGAAGATTAGAAAGTAGTTATATTATACACGGAGTACAGTTCACATCTTTATAAATGGATCTAGGACTCAAATATTCTTCAAATGTTTTCCACTGAATATTAATGTACATAACAATCATCAGTTAAAACACTTCATTTAGATTTGAAATTTAACAAAAAGCATATATGAAAACATCAATGTTCAGGCTCATTGGGACATTTAGTTCAAGACTAAATGGTTTTTCAAAACATTAAATAGATATAAAAAGACGGAAATTTCCGCATATGACTTCAACTATGAGTATTTTTTCCATTATATAGTCCTGCACAACAGAACAATAAAGAAGCATATGTTCAGAAGTACTAACAAAAACCAATAGAAGCTCCTGCAAATCTAAAAAGTGTCTTTGCCACTTCACAGGTACGGAATTCCCAGAGACATGATCATGGAGCCAGACCAAAGTTATCAATGGGGGAATATGGCAGAAGGACATAATCCCACCATGTAATCATGTCATTGTGGCCTATGGTGCTGCCATGGTGTGACTCCCTTAGCCAAATTCCTATGACGAAGGGGTTAAAAACGACAAATCGTTTCGTTGTGTCAATTATTACAATTATTGAACAACATTCAGCGATACATCAAATTCACACCTTGGATAACAAATAAAGACGGGGTATGAAAGAGAATAAAAAGAATACAGGAATGGAAGAGGACAGGAACAGAGATGTCCAAAATTTGGAGACATACCACAGTTAAAAAGTACTGTGTGAAGCAACTGAGAGACGCACAGTTCCTGTATACAGGACTATTTGGATTCATATAATCTTCAATATCATCAACATTCAAACAGCAACAAACTGAACCCATTGTTTCAGCTTCAATATCCTCTGTTTCAACTTAAATTCTTCACACTTCTCAACTCAAACCTCACCAAAACATTGATGCTGCTACATGCACGCTTTGAGAAAGAACCCCCAACAGCAATAACCAAGACTAATGACTACACTTCCACCAATAAATAAAGAGAGAGGATTCTAAGCTCGCAGAAGTTCAATTCCTCCGCAAACCAGTACCCTCCCTCTTCTGATAAGATGATCTGTTATATGGATGAGCAAATGGTTCTCTTGATCACCTGAAACACACCAAAACTGCATAAATATCACTGAAACCAAACCATTCGGGGAGGTTGAAGTACAATCTTCCAATCATGCAATTGATAAATCAAAATAACAGAATTTTTCTAAATGCCTGTGTTGAGAACTCAACAAATGCTGACGCTCCAAATTCAAAGCATAACGCATACAAAACATCATTGGCAAATCAGGACTCCAAAATAAGATCAACATTCTTTTCTTTTCCCTCCAAGGGTAAAAGATAAGTATAATAACACTAAAAATATGAAAAAGATTAATTCAAATTTGAGTGTTTCAAGGAAAAAGCTATAATCTATTTGCAAAGTTCCTTCAACTTGTCGCAAAAATGATTCGTTACTTCACTGGAAAGCTACACTATTAGCTCAAACAGCAGAAAGATCATCATTCTCTCGGTTCAGGTGAAAAATCACAATCACTAGTTTTACTATTTAGGCAACAACCTCAAACAGAGAAGAAAACCATATCCCCGTCCAAGGAATTAAAAATTAAATAAGAGTTACACAAATTGCATGCATCAATTGTCCATAGAGAACATCCGAATTTACCAAACAAAAAACTTAAAAAACATACAAATTGATGAACCCCAGAGAAGAAAAAAAAAAGTGAGGATCGTCAAATAAGAAGGCAATCAAAATAAAGAGAACTAAGGAGGGTATGCGATGAAAAGGACAAAGGTAGAGTATTTCAAAAACTAAAAAGAGAGAAGTACCTGAGATAGAATTTTGAATGAAATTGTTGTTGAGAAACAAGGAATAAATAAGCTGTATAAAATGGGGATTGTTATGATTTAGGAAATAAAAGATTTTTTTGGAGGAAAATTGCTACAACAGATGATTAGCGAGAATAGAGGAAACAAAAAAAACTTCTCTCTTTCTGTTTTATCTTTCTCTCTCTTCCAATCTCCCTTCCTTATTTCTTTCTTTTTGGTGGGTGAGTGGGTGGAGGAATCTATGAAATAAATAAAAAAACTTTCAAAAACTTTATGTTATTAAATTCTGAAGGACAATGACTCTTTTTATTTTTTCTGATTAAAAAAATATATTTTAACCATCCTCATTCATTGAGACAAGTTCCACCTCTATTCTGATGTTCTTATACTCCAATAGAAGTAAATATGAAAATGATATAAGATGAGTCTAGAAGAAGATAAACTGGTATGTTACATAGGATAAAAAAATTAATATATATTACATAAAATAAATTGTATATAATAAACATTTTATAAAGCTAAAATTCATAAACAAAGATGTTTTAAAATCACAATAAATAAACAATTTCAAGAAGTTTAATTTCAAACTTATACTATTATTTAAATTGAAAAATGTAAAACATGTTTATCTCAATTATGAGGTGATTTTTTCTTTTTTATCTTTTATTACTTTGATTTAATTTATAAAATATAAATTATTTTTTATATATTAAATTTAATGATAAATAATTATTTATATATATAATTTTTATACTTTAAGTACTACTTAAAATAAGATGGTTAAATTAAATTGACAAAAAAATTATATATTAATAAAAAGTTTGAAAACAAATCAAAACCAAAATTTAACTTGATTTTTGGATTAACTTATTTTAAATTGAATGATGTAATAAATGCCAACAAATCAAATCAAATATATTTATATATAATATTATATATTTAAAATTAATTATGAATTAATAAACATATCTTGTATTTTATTTTTATTTAATAAATTTATATTTATTAAAAAGTATATATAATTTTGAATTGTATTTTTTAATTATAAAATTACATAATTTATAAATAAATTATAAAAGTAAAAATATAATTATAATTATATAATTATTATAATATACATATATATATATATATATATTAAAAAATTATTATAAGATATTTAATAATTAAAAAATGTTTTAAAATTTTTAAAAGTTTGTTTAATAGTGTTATAATAATAACATCTAAAAGTTCAAATTTCATATTAAATAAAAATTAAAATGAATCAGAATTATATTTCATTTTTATTTTTAATTTAAAAAATTAAAATGAAAAATTGAATAATATTTTATAATAATAGTTTTTAACTTGATTTCTAAAAAACATTTTTTTAAGAAATATGTAAATCTAAATTTTAAATTAAAGAAAAAATATTCTTTAAATTTATAAAAAGTTGACGTAAATATTCTGAACAATATTCTTTTATCAAAACTAACAAAAAATAATTATTTATAATAATAATATCTTTGAGATTTATGATTATTTATATGGAAAAAATTTATATTATGAAAAGATAAATTTGTTGTATATGATAATTATAAATCTTATTTTTCATATAAAAAAATATATTAAGAAAAAATAAACATGTTTAAATATGATAATTTTAAATCTTGAAAATCATGTGTTAAATATTATTTATTTATATTTTGTTAATAAAAATATTTCTATAATTTTTTTAAAAAGAAAAATAATGTACTGGTTTTATTAAAAAATTTAATTTATTGTAATATTAAATATTTTATTCAAAAATTGTTCAAAACATATTATTCATGAAAATTATTGTTGGTTGAAGTTGTTTTTTTTTTTAAATATAAAACAATATGGGAGCACACGTTTTTTCTAATAAATCAAAACACATTCACGAATTAAAAACAAAATAAAACAACACACATAATATTTGAATATTTAAAAATATAGATAAATCTAAATTATTTAGATAAAATTATTCAAATAAATTTTAAAAAATAATTTTATATATAAAATAATTTATATTTATAAATTTTATTTTATTTTTATTTTTATATCTTATAAATTATTTCAGAGAAATTTATTTTAAATTTTTTTGAAAATATTTTAATTAAATTTAAATATAAATAAAAAGATGTAAGTATGGAGAAGAATTGATAAAGTTGATAAAATGTTTTCATGAAGATAATTGTTCAGGTTTATATATAGAAAAATGAATTTTTGTTAAATATTAAAATTTAATTTAAAGCAAATATAAGAATAGTAAATTAGAAGAAATAAGTAATTTAAATAACTCAACGTATTTATTCATATATTATTTATACTGTATAATTTGTTTATAACTTTTTAATTTGATTACAATAAAATATTTATTAGTACAAAAAATTCTTTAATTTTATTGTATCACATATAAACACATATAAACAAGAATTTAAAAAATCCCAAAACCTTAAACAACGTCATCATCATTGTTAATTTTGAAAATTTCCACCCCTTGGATAGAAGAAAAGAGTGTTCTTCTTCTTAACTCACAACACAAACAAACACAACAGAGCACAGAGTGTGAGGAGAACCACTCCACCACCAACCACTCTCCACTTCAATCTCTCAGATCCACCCCTAACAATACTACCAACTCCTCGAGTCACTGAGACACACCACTTACTCACTCAAGCCAATGTCATCACCACCACGCTCTGCGTCATAGTCATCATGCAGAGCGCAGTGTCGTCATCGCCGTCTCCTTCGTCGCCGGAGGCCATTCTCGAATGGCTGCACAAAGAGATGGGATACCGTCCGCTCGGCACCTACGCGGCCGGCAAATCACATCTGCCGTCTGTTGAGTCAATCCGTCGTATTTGCCGCGGCAACATGATTCCGGTCTGGAACTTTCTAGTCACGCGCGCTAAGTCTGAGAAAACGGTGCGGAATATCCGACGGAACATTACTGTGCATGGCGGGGACGGTGGCGGCGAGGCGAAGGAGGAGGCCAGGGGGAAGGGCGCGAGGAAGAAGGAAAGGGCGCTAGTCGGCGAGGGTTCTGAGACAGCGACGACGAGGGATGCAGCGTTGCAGGAGCGGGATTTAGCGGCGAAGGAGGTGGAGAGGCTGAGGAACATTGTGAGGAGGCGGAGGAAGGATTTGAGGGCGAAGATGCTCGAGGTTTCCAGAGAGGAGGCTGAGAGGAAGAGAATGCTCGATGAACGAGCCAATTACAGGTTTTCGTTTTTTTTTTCTCTCAAATTGCCCTAAATTTTGAACAGGTTATATATATGTAATTGGTAATTTTCGTTCTGGTTGGTTGCAATGGAGTTTGCATATTTCTTGTTCATAAGGTCAGGGAAGATCGACGAAACATGCTAATATCAAGTAAAAACTGGTCTGATTTGGGAAAATGATGTATTTATTGGACTGTACAGGTGAAGGTAGTGAGATATAGAAAGAAAAATTGACAGATAATAGATGATAAATGATACGAAGAGAAATAATGAGGGAGATAGAATAAAAGTGGAGTCAAAATGAGATGAAAGATAAAGTAGTGAAATGGTAACAGAAAGCTCTTTGTTTTGTGTTGCAATAGTTTAAGAGTTTCGATAACACATTTTGGTATGTTACTAGGTGGAGACAAAAAGAAAAGGAGAGAAAATGACATGTATTTTAAGTTATGTGATGGAAGAAAAAGAGAAAGATAGGAAGAAAATGTGATGGAAGAGGAAGTGAGTGTATGTTTATAGTTATAGCATGATCTTAAGTAATCATGCTGCCATTGTGTGGTCTCTAGTTAGTATATTAATGTGTTTCTTAGATTATTGTATCCTTTTATGTATTTGTCTTTGTCCGAATATTATGTTTGAAAGAGAGGGAAAAATAAATGTTGAGTTTGTGGTGATTCTGGTGTCGAAACTTGAGCATAATAAAGTATATTTCTTTATCCTTTGTGCAGGCATAAACAAGTGATGTTGGAGGCTTATGATAGACAGTGTGACGAGGCTGCAAAAATATTTGCTGAATATCATAAACGTCTCTATTACTATGTAAATCAAGCTATGGATTCTCAAAGATCAGGTGTGGATTCTTCTGTTGAAATGGCCAATAGTTTTAGTGCCAAAAGTGAGAAGGAAGCTGTTTATTCTACTGTTAAGGGCAGTAAATCTACAGATGACGTCCTTCTGATTGAAACCACAAGGGAGAAAAATATTAGAAAGGCTTGTGAGTCTCTTGTAGCTCATATGGTTGAAAAAATACGGATTTCTTTTCCTGCTTATGAAGGAAGTGGCATTCATTTAAATCCTCAGGCAGAAACAGCAAAATTGGGGTTTGACTTTGATGGGCAAATTCCTGACGAGGTTAGAACTGTTATCATAAATTGCCTAAATAGTCCTCCTCAATTGCTTCAGGCAATCACTGCATACACTTCGCGGCTGAAAAGTCTAATCTCCAGAGAGATAGAGAAAATTGATGTTAGAGCTGATGCAGAGACCTTGAGGTATCATAATGTTCATACTTTGTTTTTCATGTTCAGTTGCTTTTCTTATTGATGCCTCTGTGACCATATTATTTGAATTTTGAACCTTCTGTCATTCGTCATTGTTACTATAACTTAAAAAAAAAAAAAAAAAACTCAGTCACAAATGCTATGTTGGAAAAACATGCCTAAGAAGCGTACAATGATTTAGTTCTGCCTCCCAACCAAGAAAAAAGTGTGAAGGAAGTAGCTGTATGGTTTTGTGAATGTTCTGTTACTTAGTTCATATTAGCAAGGGTATTAATATGCTATTGCTGTTATAATTGAAATTTGCATTCTTCAATCAGGTACAAATATGAAAATAACATTGTTATGGATGTTTCATCATCTGATGGGAGCTCTCCTCTACAGTATCAACTTTATGGTAATGGAAAGATTGGCGTTGATGTGCCACCAGGAGGGAGTCAAAATCAGCTTCTAGATAGACAGGTCTTTATTCATCCTTAAACTACATAATTTGTTGTCGAACGAGGAGTTATTGAACTGGTGCTGTATCTGTTCCCAGAAAGCTCATGTTCAACAATTTTTGGCTACTGAAGATGCACTCAACAAGGCTGCGGAAGCAAGGGAAACATGTGAAAAACTTTTGAAACGTCTGCATGGAGGCACTGATGTTTCTTCACGCTCGATTGGTATTGGAAGTACATCCCAGAATGTTGGAAGTCTAAGACAACTTGAGGTATTATTGTGAAAAAATACAGTGCATTAGGTTCTTTTTAATGTATGCTATATATTTCATCTGAATCTATTGTCACCTTTCCTAATGATAATCACTTGTAATATTTCTTCTAATAAATAACCAGTAGTTAGATTACCAACATGTACAGTGCGAAGAATTAGCACTCATTGACATGCCATTAGATAAATCAGCAATGTCAAGCCTGGAGTATTGATGAATTATGATTTGGCAGGATAACTTATGCTAGGAAGAATTAATGCTTAAACCAGTGCATATTTTCTTTATTATTTTACTAATCAAATACTTAGCATGTTTTTCCCAGATTGTGGTAGGCTAGGTCCGGACAAAATATGAGTAAAGTTTGAATACCCAGTTGGAATAAGGATACCAAATAGATGGGTGTATGGCTATTTGTTCATAACTGGGTTAGTTGGGTGATCTTTCAATCATTATTTTCTCTCTTCAGGTTCCTAACAGATTTTCATTTTGTTTTTGTTAAATTTTTTTTCTTTATATTCAAACGCCATCTTAAGCTTCTTTGTACCGTGAAGCTCTTTTTTGGTGAAAATCACATGTATGTTGTTTAGCTGTTGATCTGTAACATTTTTTGTGTGTATATGATTGATTTGTTTATGTGGCACTTTTTCCTTATAGGAGAACTTTAATTAGAGAGAAAAAGAAACAAAAGCACTTAAGATTTGCTTGTGCAAATTATCTCTGGTTTGTCTCTCACATGTAATTATTTTAATGTAGTCCATTGATATAGGCCAGACAATCCAAGGCCATTTAAGGTTTACGTTAGGAAAATATGTCAGAATTAATGAGCAGTATTAGGCAGTTATTGGGTTATGTTGTATGATGCAGGTAGTTATTGTAGGGCAGTTTTAAGGGGGATTCTTACTGTAGACGAATTTGGACAGAAAAATGGTTGCTGACTGAAACAATTTTCTCAAAAAACATAGGAGAGTCCTTGTTAGGAAAATCAAATGCACATACATCATAATGATCAGAATGAAGAAGCAAACATGCTAATAGGAGAGTTCTTGTTGGAGGAAACCCTGTGGAGTTGTGTGTACTAGTAATGTGGCCTATATTGACCAGATTGTTTCAGTTTATTCAAATAATTTTGGTGTGCTCATCCCTTGTGTTCAACATCCATGAAGCTGGCTTTATATTCTGGTGCTGTTGAAAGTAACACATTTTATTTGCTTCACTGGGGAATACTCATGAAATTTGTTTTTACTAGTGAAATGAAATTCATAAAACACGTTTATATGTAAGATTTTTCATTCTTGTTGCAACTAGTTAGGGACATCCACACATGTTTAATCATGGGAATATATTTTATATTTTAGGAATCAATACTTTCTACAAGCTCAATTAAACCAGTTAGGTTCTCCTTTTGAGATTTCCCAACTTCATTCTGGAATTTTTCTGCATAAAAGTTGGAAGAAAAAAGATATAACGATTTTCCCCTTTCAATTATGTTCATTTCCTAATGCGAAAAATATTTTTCACATCAATATTTGAGCTAGGAATTTACCACTTATTCTGTATATTTTCTCCATGTCCTCAGCTGGATGTTTGGGCCAAGGAGAGAGAAGTTGCTGGTTTAAAGGCAAGCTTAAATACCTTGATGTCTGAAATACAACGCTTGAACAAGTTGTGTGCTGAGAGGAAAGAGGCTGAAGATTCTCTAAAAAAAAAGTGGAAAAAGATTGAAGAGTTTGATTCTCGTAGATCGGAACTTGAGACCATATATACGGCACTCCTTAAAGCAAATATGGTAATGCTCAATTATTTCAGTTTTTCCTTATCTAGTGGGATACAATTGGTATCATTACAGCTTATCCTTGAGAATGGTGATACCCTGTTTGAATCCTAGAATAATCACTGGTTTAAAACTTGAATTGATTTGTCTATGTGGGGACGTAGATGCATTTACTGTGAATTGTGATATGCATTGGCAACTGGACTGAGGCCGTGAATATACTTTCCCATGGGTTGCAAAATTGCTTTGAACTCATCTTGTTCTTGTATATATTTTTTATTTCCATTACTTTTGGTTTTAATAAACAGTTCTTTGATTTCAGTTTTTGTTTTCTTTTCAATTTTGGTATCCTTTTACTTTAATGCAGGATGCTGCTTCGTTTTGGAGTCAGCAACCATTAACTGCTAGGGAATATGCTTCAAGCACTATAATTCCAGCATGTGCTGCTGTTGCTGAGACTTCAAATAGTGCAAAGGATCTCATTGAGAAAGAAGTGTCTACATTTTATAGAAGTCCAGATAATAGTCTCTACATGCTTCCTTCTTCCCCACAGGTTTATAATGCTCCAACAAACAACTTGTTCACTTACCTGTTCAGTTTAACATATATTTGAATAAAAATAATGTTCTTAATATTTGGGATTTGATATATGAAATTAATTTAAGAAATCCACTTTCGAATCTTCTATTTTTATCTTTTGGTTGTCAAAGGTTCTGAGTTCATTTAAATATAAACTTGATCAGATTGGGTCTCTAGTGTTCAACACATTCTAATCTTTTTTTGTTGGATAGAAAGAAAGCGCAATTTGGAGGGTTGGGAAGGGAAGGTAAGGATACTCCAGATATGAACATTCCAGATACACAGAGGATTATGGATTGATTATAACAACTCAAAATGCATCAAGCCTGCTCAATCTCTTCTGCAAATGTAAAATATAAAATGGAAAACTGTGTTGTTGAAGCAGACACAAATGATACATATAATCCTACCTTATAATTAGTTTAGGGGCAAGATATTCCATGAATGATATATTTACATTGCAGTCCAATCTAATAAACTTTTGAACTGAATAAACTGCACTCTGCTAAATTTCACCCTCTATGCTTTTACCAGAAACTTTGTGATAATTAATTAGAAACTGATGCTCCAGAATAACAGGACAGACCCATTCCAATTGGTTATCCAACTGGTTCTCTGGATTGAATCCCATTTAAATAACCTTATAACCTCTCTCGTTCAGTATAACGTTATATTAGTTAAATTTAAATTTATAGGGGTTATTGCGATGCAAATTTAGTAGTGTAACTTAATTCTGTTGCCAATCTTGAAGTCTTTTAAGTGGGCGCATCCCAATTAAAGACGAGCTACCCTGTTAGTCAGTTAGTTGGATTGTTAGGTAGAGAGAGATAGAAATGACAAGAGATAAATAATAGGAAGAAAATTAGAGATCGATCTTTTGTTTTAGAGTGGGAATTGGAAGCTAAAGTCTAGGTCTCTTAAATACATGCAGTGTAGAGAGGATATTCATTTCTATTGTACATATGTGATATCTGGCCTTGTATCACATTGATACTGGTAAGAGTGCAGTTTTTCTGCGATAAAGATTGACTGTTTACCTAATTCTAAACCAACATCTGTAAGTGAACTTTTAATTGTTTCAGAGAAATTTGCTTTAAATATTTTATTTGTGTATGTATATTGACATGTCTTGAGCTTCTAATTTCCGTTCAATTCTGGTTCAGGCACTGCTTGAGGCCATGGGCGCTAGTGGACCCCCTGGCCAGGAAGCTGTTACAAATGCAGAAATAAGTGCAGCTATTTTGACAGCACGAGCTGGTGCTCGGGATCCATCAGCAATTCCTTCAATATGCCGTGTTTCAGCTGCACTTCAGTATCCTGCTGGTGAGTAGATTATATTATTTGCTGATAAGCTCTTTCTCGATGTACCCATATATGATGGTTTAATAGATTGCCATTGTAGAATGTCACTTTAGTAATTGCTACATCACAAATGAGTAGCCTATGGCATTTGTAAATAGAAACTACAACGCTTGTAGTTTTCTGTTCCCCCTTCAAGAGTAGTATGTCTATATTCATGTGTTATGTTTTGTCAGGACAATTAGTTAACTTTAAACATTTTTCTTTCTCTAACTCCAAACAAGATGAACATAATTTAGTAGAGAGAATATGTTAAACACTAATTTTTGTTGCAGTAAATAGTCTAAAAATTGTCACACTGAATAAAAAATCGGGGTATGCCTGCCAATATATTGATTGAAATTATGGTATCTGGAATGGCATAGTAAACTGGTGCCAAACTTTCAAAGCAATCGTAGAATTAGATTTGATATTTTGTTGTTTCGAATCAATGTATTTACATCATCTTATTATTTCATTAACCTGCAATTTGAAGAATATAATATAAGGCTATGTTGTCCTTGGATGCTTTATGGGCGCTAAAGTTATTATTTCAATGGTTTTCATGTTAAATGGACAGGCATGGAGGGTTCAGATGCCAGTCTAGCATCTGTGCTGGAGTCCCTGGAGTTCTGTTTGAAACTCCGTGGCTCTGAAGCAAGTGTGTTGGAAGATTTATTAAAGGCTATTAATCTTGTTTATATTAGACGAGATCTTGTTCAAAGTGGTAATGCCTTGTTGAATCATGCTGGCTTTGTTCAACAAGAATATGAAAGGTAAACATTTATCTAATATTCTAACCCCTGATCCAATGCGTATTCGTGGTTTAATGGCTCTAGCAGATGCAAAATTTATGTTTTGGCTAGAGAAAGATCTAGTTAGTTTATTTCCCATCTCTTTTAGAAACTTGATGGTGTATTTCGGATAGCTGTGATAACTAAATTATTTCAATAATTGATTATATGTATAATTGATTACAATCAAATTTAGTTTCTGGTTGGGTATGTTTGGTGAAAAGTAATTTTTAAGATAATTTTGTCCGGAAGCAAAAAAAAAAAAAAAAAAAAAAAAAGCTTTTACATCAGAAAATTATATGTTCATTGATGAAAAAAAAAACTGTTGAAAAATAATCATAGACTACAAATTTTCAGATTCACAAAAACGACATATTTTTCTAGAAAATAAAAACTTCACAAATTTCATCTGTTGTTCCAAACAAACAGCTGAAACTGCGAACTACCATTTTATCCCAAGAACAGCTGAAATCAGGAAAAATAATCCTTACCAAACATGTTCTTATTTTGTTGAAAACCTTTTCTTCTTTTCTGACATGCAGGACAACAAGTTTTTCTTTGAGTTTGGCTGCAGAACAGGAGAAAACTATCATGGAAAAATGGTTGCCCGAGCTTAAGACTGCTATTTTGAGTGCTCAACAGAGCTTGGAAGATTGCAAATATGTCAGGGGATTGGTGAGTTATACTGTTATTATTGCTATTATGCTTTGTTTGTTGTACTACGTGAAATGGTAAAGAGAGCCAAGAAATAAAACCCACTTCTAAATACATTTTCCTTAGTTTGGCACAGCATAGAAACAGATAAGAAAGAAGCAACTCGCACGGGGCACACATCAAAACTCTTCCTCCCTCAAGTGCCGAGAAAGTGTAGTGGAGGAGATGTAGTTTTTATTCTTTTTGATAGAGTACAAATGGATAAGCTTTTTAACTTATAAAGAAGTTATACGAGAGAACTTTTAAAACACAACTTTTGCATAAGTTAATTTTAACTTCAAGAAACTAATTTCAATTTTCTTCCTATTTTTCTTTCTTAGAAGTCTTTATATAAAAATCCTTCCAAACAAGCCCAATGCTAAACACTAATATCACACGTAATGGCAATATACAAGCTTTAACATATACAAAGGTTTTCTTCAAAGAGTATTCTTTATCCACAAACTGCAAATAACAGTACCTCTCTAATTACACACCCTACTGTCAAATGTACCCTAATACATAGCTGTCATCAGTTATTGTCTATGACTAACTATCATCAAGGCTGTTTCTAATTCTGATAAAGAACTAATACAGAACAATTAATATGGGAAATATTATTTTTCATCACATTTTAATTTTTATCCATAATGGTCAATATGACAGTTAATACCACACTTATATCTAATGCCGCATAACTGTTCAGGATAGTGGTTATCAGTTTCCATCATTATTTTTCTTCTATTATTAAATTGTAACCTCTTATGCAGCTTGATGAGTGGTGGGAGCAACCAGCATCAACAGTTGTTGACTGGGTAACAGTGGATGGGCAAAATGTAACTGCTTGGCATAATCATGTGAAGCAGCTTCTTGCATTTTATGACAAGGAACTTTTGTAATTAGAATTATAAAGCACGTGGAGTAAACAAATTTTGTGACGTCTTGTTCATCTCTAAACAAAGACTACGTGCAGCCTTGAGGTGCAGTGTGCCTTCTCTGATAATTATATTCTGGGATGGAAATATGGCAGTGTTGTCTATATTGACAGACGAAGACCCCAAGAAATAGGAGTATCATCTTGCTGATCTTTCACACAAGTCTACCACTCACTTTTCTTTAGAAGCGTGAAATGTATGTCATTTTAGATTTTAGGTAGTGGGTTGGATTGTTCATTTTAATTGGCGGTGATGGCATTCATGATTGTAGAGTTTTGTAATTTGATTTATTGTAGGTAATTGAAGTTGAAGACATTTGGGCTTCATTTACTTAAGTCTGGTTTGGTGTGGTGTATACAATTAGAACCGTTGAGGAAAGAAGCTCAAGTTGCCGAGGGGATGCTAGTGTAGTTTTACATTTTCTTTTGGAATTTCATTAAAACTAATGTGGTTCATATTCGACCATTAAATTATTCTGTGATTTCGTCTTAGGAATAGCTCAAATTTCTTTGCAGAAGTGTCCTCAGTTTAGATTCGACATTGCATATCAACTTTGAAATTAGATTTAATTTTCTTTTGTTCACCTCACTAGGTTACTTTTTTTTTTTATCTAAATTGCAAATTGGTAGTTATTTGTTTTTGTTAAAATGGTAATATATTAGTAATATTTGACATAACGCGTCGTTTGTCATATCTAAAATGTTCAATAGGGGAAAAAAACAGGAACAAATTCGAGTCCACGCATCACGAAACTTGTAATATCTTTACTAACGTTTGCCTTAAAAAATATTATTGGGACTTGGAGATATTGCCCCTATGTATTAGACTGTTTTCTGTATTCTAAATTAACAGCCTTTTAAAATTTTAGTAGACGGAGATTAAAAAATGTTTATTATTTTTAGTTAAAATACTTAGTTTTTAATAATCTTTATATTTTTTTTCAATGTTAGTAGTTGTGTATTAATTTCTCTCAATGATATGTAGGGGTGTTATTAAATATTATTTAAAAATAGTTTAAAAATGTAAAAAATGACTATTATTTGAAATAGTTATTTTGATATTTGCCCTCATTTTTATTCAGCTTATTAATAAATTAAAAAGGCGAGTCAATAATCGCATAATCGTTTAGGTTAAATGCACTAATGTACTGAGCTAACTAATTAATGATTTTTTTTTTGTAATAATATCTTAATTTATTAATTTAAAACATTCATGCAAAGAAATTATTCTTGGAATGATCTTATACCTGATAAAACATGAGACTTGGTTTCACTTCAATACTTAATTATGTTACGAAAATTCTGAATTCATATTGTATTATGTCTGGACGAGATGTTTGACAACACGGTGTACCATGCGGTCGACCGAGAAAAAAAAAATCATACAGTGACAGAATAAAAAAAACAAAAGGAGACAATTCAATTGTTTTCTATCCCACCGTTTCCCAAAATCCGTCCCAAGTCTCAGTCCCCTTCCCCCTACCTCAATGGTTCTCTTTCAAGCTAAAATGAAATTCTCGCTCTCTCTCCGTTAGCAAAGCAAAACCGTTGCATTCCTTCAGCAGAACAAATCCTGTGATCCCCACATTATGGGTTTCCACTTCCCTCTCTCATAAATATTATGCATATACCTATTATACCCTTCTTTACTTTCGTCTCCAAAAGCACCTTCCCCTTTAAAATCCACCTTGTCCTCAAGGTGAAAGTCCGGAAAGGATTCCTTCATTCTGCGTACGAACTCCCATGAATTTTCATATTGCGGCAGATTTTTCCATTTCACTAACACTTCCAGAATTCTTTCTTCATCTCCTCTTACTACGAATATCTCTTTTGATTGCACTTGTAACTCCAATTCTTCATTCACAAAACTAGGTAATGGTTGGACTTCCGTTGCAGTTGAAATAGTAGGTTTCAACAAAGATACATGAAAAACGGGATGGACTTTGCTCCCTTATGGCAATTAAAATCTATATCCACCTCCCCAATTTTTTCCGTGATTTCATACGGTCCATAAAATCTAGGGTTGAGCTTCTGATTAACCCTTTTTGCCAGCTTCTTCAACTTGAATGGTTGAATCTTCAAGTAAACTACATCTCCCACCTTATAATCACTTCCCTTCTATGCTTGTCGGCTTGTTGTTTTGTGAGATTTTGGGCTTGAGCCAACTGATCCTTCAATATGCTTAACATCTCATTCATATCTCTGATCATCCAAGCAACTTCTTCTAGCAGAGTGGTTGAGCTATCTCCTCTAATCAAAGGAGAATCCCTTCCATACAAAGCTTGAAAGGGGGTCATTTTTGTATATTCATGATAATTGGTATTATACCAATACTCTGCCCAACTCAACCATTTGTGCCAATGTCTGGGTCTCTCCCCTGTCATACATCTCAAATATGTTTCCAAACACCGATTCATCACTTCAGTCCGCCCATCCGTATGTAGGTGTTAAGAGGAGCTGAATTTCAGTTTAGTTCCTGCCATTCTGAACAACTCAGTCCAAAAAGCACTCAAATGTCACGGTCCAAAATAATAGATTCTGGGAATCCATGGAGTGTTACCACATTTTTTTGGAATACTTCTGCAACTTCCTTGGCATTATAAGGGTGGGATAGGGCAATGAAATGGGCATACTTGGTGAGTCGGTCTACCACCACCAATATTGTGTCTAGTCCTCCTGCTTTTGGTAAGCTTCCAATGAAATTCATGGATAGGTCTGCCTAAATCTGATTGGGGATAGGAAGAGGTTGTAATAATCCAGCAGGACTCAATGTTTGATATTTATTCCTTTGACACACCTCACACCTTTGCACATAGTCTTGAATGTTCTTCCTCATCCCTTCCCAGAAAAACATTCTAGAAATCCTTTTATAAGTGCAAAAATATCCTGAATGTCTCCCTTCCGCTGAATCATGGAACTCCTTTAATATTACATGAATTTTCAATTACCTCTTTGGAATGACTAACCTTTCTTCATAATACAACCTTCCATTCTTTAGTGTGTACCTCTTATGTTCTCTCTTTTTTAGCAACAAATCTTAGATGATTTTATTCAATCCTTCATCCTTCACAACCTCTGCTTCTAACTCTTCCCAGTCCAAGAGTTGGACTGTTGAGATAGCTGAATACACCATCCTTCTTGAGAGGGCATCCGCCACTCGGTTCTCTGCTCTAGGCTTGTACTGGATCTCAAAATCAAAGCCCAGCAATTTGGAAATCCACTTTTTTTGCTCCTCACTCGTCAATCTTTGTTCAGCTAAGCATTTCAAACTTTTCTTATCAGTTCGCACTATGAAGTGTCTTCCTAGCAGATAATGCCTCCATTTTTGCACTGCCATGACTACTGCCATCAGTTCTTTTTCATAAACTGACTTGTTCATAACCCGATCCGAGAGGGTATGACTCATATAAGCAATTGGCTACCCTTGCTGCATCAACACAACTCCACTTCCCTTGCCTGATGCATCTATCTCTACAATGAACATCTTCTTTAAGTTTGAGACAACAAGAACAGGAACCTGGGTCATTGTTGTTTTCAACCTGTCAAAGGCCTCTTGTGCTGTTTCATCCCATTTGAATTTATCTTTCTTCAATTGCTGGGTTAGAGGCCATGCAATCTTCCCATATCCCTCAACGAATTTCTGGTAATAGCCTGTGAGGCCTAAGAACCCTCTCAACCCCTTCACATCCTTTGGAACTGGCCATTCCATCATTGCTTGTATTTTGGCTGGATCTGCTGCCACTCACTTACCTGAAATAATATGTGCCAAATACTCTATGCTCATCTTCGCTAACGTGCATTTCTTCTTGTTGACGACTAAGTTATTTTCCAGCAAGCTTTCTAACACCTTCCTCACATGCTCTTGATGACAATCCATGGTTTTAGCCTGTGAGGCCTAAGAACCCTCTCAACCCCTTCACATCCTTTGGAACTGGTCATTCCATCATTGCTTGTATTTTGGCTGGATCTGCTGCCACTCACTTACCTGAAATAATATGTGCCAAATACTCTATGTTCATCTTCGCAAACGTGCATTTCTTCTTGTTGATGACTAAGTTATTTTCCAGCAAGCTTTCTAACACCTTCCTCACATGCTCTTGATGACAATCCATGGTTTTATTGTAAATTAGGATATCATCAAATAACACTAATGTGAATTTCCTCAAGTAAGGTCGCAGGACTTGATTCATTAGAGCTTGGAAGGTTAAAGGGGCATTTGTAATCCCAAAGGGCATTACTAAGAATTCTTAATGTCCCTCATGAGTTCTGAATGCGGTTTTAGAAACGTCTCCTTCATCCATTCTGATTTGGTGATAACCTGATTTGAGATCCAATGTGGAAAAAATCATGGCTCCTCCCAATTCGTCTAGTAATTCATTAATGATGGGAATGAGAAATTTATCCGGCATTGTCATCTTGCTAAAGCTCTATAATCAGTACAAAATCTCCACCCTCCATTCTTCTTCCTAACCAAAATAATAGGACTGTTGTAGGGGCTATTACTAGGCTTTATAATTCCTACTGTTAACATTTCCTTCACAAACCTCTCAATTTCATTTATTTGGTAGTAAGGATACCTATAAGGCCTAATATTGGGTATATTTTCTCCCTCCGTAAGAATCACAACATGATCACAGGCCCTCTTGGGGGGCAAGACAGTGGGCTCTCTAAATAAATCCTCATATTCATTTAGTACCGTAGCCAATTCTGGGAGCATAACGTTACCTGTTTTCGTGTCTATAGTTAAGGGATTTTGATAAGACAACATGAACCCTTCTCCTTTATCATTGAGATCCTTCACCATAGCTTTCCACGAAGCTTGAGATTTACAGAGGGAGGGGTCACCCTTTATCACTCTTTTCTCTTTTAGTTGTTCCCACTTCAACACCAGATTTTTGAAATTAGCTCTTACATTCCCCAAGCTAGCCAGCCAATCCATTCCCAAAACTATATTCGTTCCTCCCAACTCCATTAAAAAGAAATGTTGCACTATGGGGACCCCCTGAATCTCCAATTCCAACTGTTTACAAATTCCTCTATTAATCACCTTATCCCCCGTCCCTACTTCAACTATAAATTTTGTTGTCTCACTTACTTTTGGCTGAAAGCAATGAGGGGGAGATTGATGACAATGTAAAACATGTTCCTATATTCCTAAGAGATGATTTTGATGATGATTCAAGTTATGGGAATGAAGATGATGGAATGCGTCCAACAATTAGAAGCACTGAAACCCTTATTCAGTTCAAGCAGAGGAGTGGAAGATTTACGCAAAGGTGAAGATGCAGTGGAAGATATCTTAAGAATAAACAACTATCATCCCACCTTAAATACAAATTTTTAGATGAACAGAAACTCAAACCAGTGATAATGAATAGTGAGTTATCTGATGTTGAGGAAGAAAAACTGTTG